TTGATAAATGAGTGGGATAGTCAGCGATGTTTTTGTATTCATATACAAATTAAAATATAAATAGTTTTTTTTTTAAAAATAAAAAAAATCATCACGAATCAATGATGCAATGATAGATACTAAATATCTATAATAATATGTTTAAGGGGCAAAATTGTCAAAATGAATAGGCTGATTGAGATTCCTCTTAAGTCTCTACTCTCTACACCTCTATAATTTAAATTTCTTTTGAATACTATTGACATTATTACACCTCTATAAATTAAATACTCTGGTTATATAGTCTTGACCTAAAGGAAAAAAAAAAAAAAAAAAAAAAGAGTAATTAATCCAATTAATGGCAACTACTATGTATTTTTTTTTTTTTTTTTTTTTTTGTGAGAACTACTATGTAATTTGATGATACATTTGTTATCATTCAAACGAGAAATAAGAGGATATACAGACCTGTAGGAACAACAGCTAAGCAAGCAGGCCTTGTCAACCGGTAAATCGGGAGTTATCTTCACAATATGAGAGATATCAACAACGGTGTATTCAGAAAAACTTGACACCCCATAAATGGTGATAAATGCCTTTTCCATCCTTATCCCTGAATCGGGTTGTTCCATCTCTTGGCATTCCGCCATAATGCTCAACTGGGAATTTAGTACAAACACTGTTTCTTCCGAGTTTGCAATCCTTGCATTCCCACAGTTCCTTCTGCATACCGGGATTACCATATCCCCAACTTTCACTTCATCAACATTCTCACCTACACTTTCAACCACCCTACCAAAACCCAACTCTGAATTTGTTAGGCATAATAGTGAAAGATATATGCAATATGTATATGTGAATATTTCAGAATTTAATCATGCGTGTTGTGCTGAGGTCGGTGAAGAAGTCAATTAAGTTCAACACCCTGCCTCTTGAAAATGTGATGACTGCATAAAGTTATGCCTTCATTCGCTATTAGCTATAGCTTTTGGTGTAGTAGTAAGCACTTGATCCTTACAAGCGGTATCATAACCAGGTTACGGGTTTGAATCCTAACAAGAGATTGGTAGGTGTTGGGAGAGAGAATTGTTGGGTGGAGGTCATGGCAGGGATTCAAGCCCTAACAATATATAGATTGGCAGGTGCTGGGAGAGAGAATTGTGGGGCGGAGGTCAGAGAAGGGTCATGGCAGGGGTTCGAGCCTCAACAAGTGCCACGAGGAAGAATTGTTGGGCAGAGCCCGATGAAAGATCATGACAGGGGTTCGAGTCCCAACAAGTACTAGGCCGGTGAAAGGCCCTAGTAGGGTTCGAGCCCCAACAACCATACTTTCATAGTAGGGATTTGAGTCCCAGCAAGACTGACACTTGCTGAGAGGTGAATTATGGGTGGATGGTCAATGGTAAGGCTTCATCCTTAGAATGTATAAGCAAGTACTACTCATCATTCTTACCCAGCTGCTTCATGGCCCAGAATTCTTGGAAATAATGAAGCGGCCCTGATTAATCAACCATATATGCATAACTCCATTAATAATATAATTCAACTTTAAGTAATCTTAAACAAGATCGAGCTGCTAGTAAGAACAATTAGACTTACAAGATCTAACTTCCACAAAGTGCAATCAGTATGGCAGAGAGATGTGCAGAGAATCTTAACACGAACCTCCCAAGCCTTGGAGGATCCACTTCGATCTCTTCTATCACAAGTGCCTCTCCAGCCCTCTACATACAGCACCTGAAACCAAAATTTCTTTCTTTTTCAGTAATTCACAGTTCTAATTTTTAACACCAACAATAATAAGGCAAATGAAATTTAATTTCTTAGACAAATATCAAACCAACCTTTGCATTTGATGGGTTTTTCCTATAGTCTCTGATGCACTGTTGTTGGACTCCATCACACTCACAGGATTAGATAGATAGATAGATTGATTGATTCTTTCTCTCTTTCTTTCACTTCCCAAGAATATGTTGGGTTGATTCGGAGTCTTTATATATATATATATTTATATATATATAATATATATATATATATATATATATAGTGACAAGCAAGTGTAGCAATCTTGAATAGCATATGATATGATATCACACTTTCTCATTTGATGGCTTTTACTCTGGTAGTCAAACTTGGCTCCTTACACTGAACACACACATTCTCTCCAACACAGTATTATATAATTTTAAATATATTTATTCTTTTAAATATATAATGACATACACCCACACACGTGCATTATTTTTTTAGTTAACTGGCTAAGTGCTAGATGCTATTCTATTGCCCGACTAACACTTACTGTAAGCATGATTTTGATGATGTTAATTTATGTAAGAAAAGGAATTAAACTTCTGATAGATAACACTTGGTACCTGAACTATCTTAGTTAGTGTACGGGAGATCATCTTAGGAAAGCATATTCAGAATCTACTAAGGACATCCTCAATAGTTGAGATTTTGGTGTGATTTTGAGGAGTTTTTGTAGGTGTAATTATGAAAAAGAAGATTGATAGAAGAGAAAAAAGAAAGAAAAAAACAATAGTATTTCTGACATTATGCAACATATTTCTGACATAATTCTTGTTTTGTAGGTGAAAGATTCAGTTCAAATTTGACCTTCTCATTTGTTAAAAAGTAATCCAGGGTGGAATTTTACTGTTCTAAAATTAAGGAATGAACCCCTATTAGGATCGCTGTAACAGTAATATCATCTACATGTCACTAATTAAGAGATATATATTTGTCCAATGTGAAAAGAGCTCTTGGGTACTTCCTTCAAAGGATCCTGACACCAAGATATGTTAAAGACAATATACAACCCTATTAAATTAAGGCATAGTATATTGTCATTAAAAAACTAACAAATTCTCAAAAAGAAGAGTATACAATGGCAAACACGTGCAAGTTGCAACAAACTTGACAGCTTAATATAGCCAAATATTGGCGGGCTAGCATTTTTTTATATCGGAGAAATATTCTAACACATACTAGTGCTTATTGGGCTGACAAAATTGACTTCCAACTCATTCGCACACCATGCATGATTACAATCACAATTGTTATATTGTGGAATCGTGCAAGATGGACACGATTCTACAATCGTTATGCTATGGACCCGTGTCTAGCATGCATGCTGGACACAGGTAACAGTGCCATTAGGCACTGTTATCTTCTTCTTCTTCTTTCCTTTTTTTTTTTTTTTTTTTTTTTTTTTTTTTTTTTAATTTCGGACCGGAGTAAATTTCAATTTTGGTCATATGACTATAGATGTTTTGTTAATTTGAGTCTCTGACTTTCAAAAGTGTTAATTTAGTACCTTAACTATGTAATTTTTGTCAATTTTAGTCACTCCGGCAAAATTGCCGGCCAAATTTCGCCGAAAAATTTTAATAATTAAAATAATAAGGGTATTTTGGTCGTTTCATGCCTCTTTTCATCTTCTCCGGCGAGTCCATCACTTTCTCTCCCATTTCTGGCGTTCTTTCTCCATGTAAACCCTATCTTTAATATCATCAAGCATCCTTTCCCCATCATCTTAGTTCATTTCATTCGTCGAAAACGGGAGAGGAATGGCTGGACTCGCCTGGGATGAAGAAAAGAGACGTGAAATGATCAAAATATTCTCATTATTTTAATAATTAAAATTTTCCGGCGAAATTTGACCGGTAATTTGACCGGAGTGACCAAAATCGACAAAAAATTACATAGTTAAGGTACTAAATTGACACTTTTAAAAGTCAGGGACTGAAATTAACAAGACCCCTATAGTCATAGGACCAAAATTGAAATTTCCTCTTTCAGACTGCTTCGTTATAGGAGTATATGTTCATAATTTTATTACTATATGTTCAGAATTGTAAGTTCATAATGTCAGAGTTCTATGTTCATAATTCCGTAACTGTACATTCATACTTTCATAACTGTACATTCATACTTTCATAACTGTACATTCATAATTCCGTAACTGTACATTCATAATTCAATAACTGTAACTTCATAATTTTCGAAACTCTATGTTCATAATTTTATCACTATATGTTCATATTGTAAGTTCATAATGTCAGAGCTCTGTGTTCATAATTGCATAACTGTACATTCATAATTCCGTTAACTGTACATTCATAATTCCGTAACTGTACATTCATAATTCAATAACTGTAAAATCATAATTTTCGAAGCTCCATGTTCACAATTTTAGAGCTCTATGTTCATAATTTTATCACTATATGTTCATAATTGTAAGTTCATAATGTCAGAGTTGTGTTTATAATTTTATAACTTACATTCATAATGTCATAACTGTACATTCATAATGCCATAACTGTACATTCATAATCCCATAACTGTACATTCATAATGGCACAAACGAATAACGCCGTTAACACCGTTAACGACGAGACAAAATCAATTTTTTTTTAACTGGAATGACACGTTTTTCAGCTGAGCCGTCGCAAGTATCATCTGAGCCTGCTCGAGGGTTGTAGAACTGAGCAAAGAGGCTGCCAATGTTGTTGAGATATCGAGTAGCTCTCCAACCACTCGAGAGGTAGTGGAACTGAGTGGTGAGTTATCTCGAGGAGTAGAAGTTCTATCAAGCTCACCTCGTTTGCTAACTACTCGAGAAGATGCAGAACCAAGTGGTGAGGCCGAGCATACAACCATTCATGAGGCATAACGATTCGCAACTCCTCATGCTGAATTTGATGAATGAGTGATTGTTGAATTTGATTCTAGCTTAGCCAGTACTGGTGGAAACTGAGAAGTGCTGACTAGTGCGAGCTCAAAGAATCTATAGCCGACCATCACATCCTGATTGTTGAAATAGTTTTTTGACTATAACAAAATTACCAATTTGGTCCCGAGTTAACGGATGTCTAACAACAAAATAAACGGATGACCAAATTGGTTAAGATTTTTAAAGTTGAGGGACTTAATTGGTCAAGAAAAATAGTCAATGACTAAATTGATAATTTTACTATAGTCAAGGGACCATTTCGATAATTAACTCAAAATAATATATATGGTATCAAATCATTAAAACATTCCAAACTTCTGTACCAACTTTAGCCAAAACATAGGGGGGGGGGGGGGGTGGTGTAAACAAACAGTCATCACTAAGGATATGATGATTGAATTTGTTACTGTGTTACATAAACAAATTAACACGGCATAATTCTCTGTAAATAAAATCTCTGCATTAATTGATTTGAAGAGAGAATTTCAAATTATGTATTGTGTGTGGCTAAAAATAAAATTATGCATTATTATTATCCATCCAGATGATGCAACGCAGAGATTTCTTCTGCTCCAGCAACTCAAATGCTTGCATAATGTCTTCGAATTTGACTTCATGTGTTTTGAAACCCTCCAAATTCAGCTCCTGCATTTATTTATCGTAACCAAAAACGATTTTACTGTCAGACGTGTAATATTTTTTATAAATGTAAAAAAAATTGTTACATTTTAATTAAAAAGTATTTATCCAGATAAATTCGTGACAGTCACACATTAAACGCAGGCTAAAAAAGGACTACTCAAATAATGTCCCATCAGTTACCACCCCCTAACATTCGAGAAATAACAAGTTTTTTTTTTTTTTTCACTCGAAGAAACAACAAAATAGCAAAATAAAATGACAACCATATATTTGTCTGATTTGGAATAATGCATTGCGAAACTTACATTTTTCAGATATTTTTCAGCAAGTTCGGGAATATCAGTTTTGGCATTGATTCCTCCAAAATTGCACCCGATAATGGTCTTTTCTGCTAAGAGTTCGTAAGGATTCACACTTATTGGCTTTCCGTGCATTTCTACTCCAAGTATTATTGTATATCCACCCTATAAATTATAACTCAAAAAATTAATTATGTTAATAAACAAGTTTTACATAATTGAAGATAGAGTATCAATTTTAATAATGAAAAACCTGCAAGTAGAGCTGTTAAAACAGGCTTAACTCGCTGAACTAGCCTATCTCGCCACGCCAAAAGAACAAGACGAGCTCTAAAAATCAGAGCTCATATTATAGCGGAATTTTAGCTCGTCCCTATTTAACCCGCCGGTTTAACGGGGCGGGCTTCGTCCTGTCGGTCCGTTTTGATAGCTCTAGCTAGCCGCAAGTATGGTCAAAGGGGATAACAAAAAATACCTGACGTGAGCTTGCGAAAGCATCTTCCATCAAGGATGCTAATCCAATGCACTCGAAGCTATAATCAACGCCTCCATCCGTCATTTTTTTAATGGCCTATATATTTAAGGTAAAGTTTAGATTTGTTTAATTATTAAATTAAAATAACAGAAAAATTTATAGTTTTTGATCTCTTAATTGTACATTTTTAAATTTAAATCTAATTTTTCTATTTTAATTTGTACAAATATGACTTTTTAATTGCTAAACAAGTTATAAATTTTGTCTATCAATTCATTTAAGACTAAGACATCGAGTTTTGTTTGTACCTAGGGTTATCATTTATTTATTTATTTTATAAATTTTGGTACAAATGGATTTTAACACCTCAATTTATAACCATTTTAACAAATAAGGCAAATTATTATGTCGACCTAGTCTACCTTACAAGGTGGACCCAGGTCCAAATGTTCACAATTTATTTTTTAAAAATTCACAATGTGTATACTACGAACACATAATGTTAACATATATATAATTGATTATATTATTTTGTATTCACAAGTTCCTTTCAAGTACTGCAGTCACACAATATTAACATATTAGGATTTGGTGACTTGTATTATATTAACATAAAAACACAATTTATATTCTAAAAGTTCACAATTTCAATACTAAAAATACACAAATTATACGTCGTTTAGGACCAGGGTCCACGTTGCTAGGTGGACCCTGGTCCATGGTATAACAACTAAACAAATAAAGGACTGTATTAGTAAAAGTTGAAAGGGTGAGTCTAAATTTAACTCGAGAACAATTAAACGACCAAAAATGTAGGGAGTAATCTTTTTTTTAAAAAAATAAAAAATAAAATTATCTTTTTAATTACTATTTTAATATGATTTGGAACAGTTTTACGAAGATGTAAGCATAAATTCAAGAATGAAAGATGCATCTAACCTCCGGTACTGAACTTTCCCCAATAGCTTTTGGATTAATAAAATCTGTAAGTCCAAACTTCTTCCCTACTCATTGAACAAATATAATAATAAATAAATAAATAATTCATTATTTAATATTAATATTTTTAATAAATATTTTGTAACACTTACCAAGTTCAAATTTGTCTGGATTCAAATCAACGCCTATTATTTTTGAAGCTCCCCTTAGCCTTGCACCTTCTGCAACCTATTATAGTTTGAAACCAGTAATTGATGACTAAATTTTATTCTGAATAATAATTGACAATAATAGAGTTCAAAAATTTACTTATAAATAATTAAATTTTTAAACACTAATTTTTTTAACACTATTTTTTTTTTTTTGAGAATAATTTTTAAACACTAATCACAAATCATTAATTTCATATTTGTGGTGATATTATAAATATAATACGTGTTGTTATTTGTAATAGTTTCTACTAAATTAAAATATAATCGAGATTTGTATATATATATATATATATATATATATATATATATATATATATATATATATATATGAAATTATCCAAAACAAAAAAAAAACTCAAATTACCGCAAGTCCTACAGCACCGAGTCCAAAAATTGCAACTGTAGAACCTTTCTCAATCTTTGCAGTTTTCCACGCTGCTCCTACACCTGTATATATATACACCAACATTAATAATTAAATTTAAATTTATGTTTGATGATGGAAAAATAATAAATAAAGTTATTTTAAGTATTGTGTCAGTTAGTTGATGGTTGATTATGCTAGTTGTTTTGATCAGTTGATAATAGTAATAATTTGTTTTAAAGTGTTTGATAAATTAATTATTTATTATCAGTTAAAATAAAATTAAATGGCATGAGTTTATTATTTTATTTATTAAATTATACTTAAATTATTTTTAATTTTAGATAAAAATAAGTTGTTATTGTAATCACTATTGTGGTTGTTATTGTTATTGTTATTGTTGTTATTATTATTATTATTATTATTATTATTATTATTATTTATTTTTATTAATAATAATTCAATATTAAAATATAAATTTAAAAAATAGTAAATAAAGTTTTTCTAGGTATTTGTTTTGATAAATGAGTGGGATAGTCAGCGATGTTTTTGTATTCATATACAAATTAAAATATAAATAGTTTTTTTTTAAAAAATAAAAAATCATCACGAATCAATGATGCAATGATAGATACTAAATATCTATAATAATATGTTTAAGGGGCAAAATTGTCAAAATGAATAGGCTGATTGAGATTCCTCTTAAGTCTCTACTCTCTACACCTCTATAATTTAAATTTCTTTTGAATACTATTGACATTATTACACCTCTATAAATTAAATACTCTGGTTATATAGTCTTGACCTAAAGGAAAAAAAAAAAAAAAAAAAAAAAAGAGTAATTAATCCAATTAATGGCAACTACTATGTATTTTTTTTTTTTTTTTTTTTTTTTGTGAGAACTACTATGTAATTTGATGATACATTTGTTATCATTCCAAACGAGAAATAAGAGGATATACAGACCTGTAGGAATACAACAGCTAAGCAAGCAGGCCTTGTCAACCGGTAAATCGGGAGTTATCTTCACAATATGAGAGATATCAACAACGGTGTATTCAGAAAAACTTGACACCCATAAATGGTGATAAATGCCTTTTCCATCCTTATCCCTGAATCGGGTTGTTCCATCTCTTGGCATTCCGCCATAATGCTCAACTGGGAATTTAGTACAAACACTGTTTCTTCCGAGTTTGCAATCCTTGCATTCCCCACAGTTCCTTCTGCATACCGGGATTACCATATCCCCAACTTTCACTTCATCAACATTCTCACCTACACTTTCAACCACCCTACCAAAACCCAACTCTGAATTTGTTAGGCATAATAGTGAAAGATATATGCAATATGTATATGTGAATATTTCAGAATTTAATCATGCGTGTTGTGCTGAGGTCGGTGAAGAAGTCAATTAAGTTCAACACCCTGCCTCTTGAAAATGTGATGACTGCATAAAGTTATGCCTTCATTCGCTATTAGCTATAGCTTTTGGTGTAGTAGTAAGCACTTGATCCTTACAAGCGGTATCATAACCAGGTTACGGGTTTGAATCCTAACAAGAGATTGGTAGGTGTTGGGAGAGAGAATTGTTGGGTGGAGGTCATGGCAGGGATTCAAGCCCTAACAATATATAGATTGGCAGGTGCTGGGAGAGAGAATTGTGGGGCGGAGGTCAGAGAAGGGTCATGGCAGGGGTTCGAGCCTCAACAAGTGCCACGAGGAAGAATTGTTGGGCAGAGCCCGATGAAAGATCATGACAGGGGTTCGAGTCCCAACAAGTACTAGGCCGGTGAAAGGCCCTGGTAGGGTTCGAGCCCCAACAACCATACTTTCATAGTAGGGATTTGAGTCCCAGCAAGACTGACACTTGCTGAGAGGTGAATTATGGGTGGATGGTCAATGGTAAGTGCTTCATCCTTAGAATGCTATAAGCAAGTACTACTCATCATTCTTACCCAGCTGCTTCATGGCCCAGAATTCTTGGAAATAATGAAGCTGGCCCCTGATTAATCAACCATATATGCATAACTCCATCAATAATATAATTCAACTTTAAGTAATCTTAAACAAGATCGAGCTGCTAGTAAGAACAATTAGACTTACAAGATCTAACTTCCACAAAGTGCAATCAGTATGGCAGAGAGATGTGCAGAGAATCTTAACACGAACCTCCCAAGCCTTGGGAGGATCCACTTCGATCTCTTCTATCACAAGTGCCTCTCCAGGCCCTCTACATACAGCACCTGAAACCAAAATTTCTTTCTTTTTCAGTAATTCACAGTTCTAATTTTTAACACCAACAATAATAAGGCAAATGAAATTTAATTTCTTAGACAAATATCAAACCAACCTTTGCATTTGATGGGTTTTCCTATAGTCTCTGATGCACTGTTGTTGGACTCCATCACACTCACAGATTAGATAGATAGATAGATTGATTGATTCTTTCTCTCTTTCTTTCACTTCCCAAGAATATGTTGGGTTTGATTCGGAGTCTTTATATATATATATATATATATATTATATATATATATATATATATATATATATATATATATATATAGTGACAAGCAAGTGTAGCAATCTTGAATAGCATATGATATGATATCACACTTTCTCATTTGATGGCTTTTACTCTGGTAGTCAAACTTGGCTCCTTACACTGAACACACACATTCTCTCCAACACAGTATTATATAATTTTAAATATATTTATTCTTTTAAATATATAATGACATACACCCACACACGTGCATTATTTTTTTTAGTTAACTGGCTAAGTGCTAGATGCTATTCTATTGCCCGACTAACACTTACTGTAAGCATGATTTTGATGATGTTAATTTATGTAAGAAAAGGAATTAAACTTCTGATAGATAACACTTGGTACCTGAACTATCTTAGTTAGTGTACGGGAGATCATCTTAGGAAAGCATATTCAGAATCTACTAAGGACATCCTCAATAGTTGAGATTTTGGTGTGATTTTGAGGAGTTTTTGTAGGTGTAATTATGAAAAAGAAGATTGATAGAAGAGAAAAAAGAAAGAAAAAAAACAATAGTATTTCTGACATTATGCAACATATTTCTGACATAATTCTTGTTTTGTAGGTGAAAGATTCAGTTCAAATTTGACCTTCTCATTTGTTAAAAAGTAATCCAGGTGAATTTTACTGTTTTAAAATTAAGGAATGAACCCCTATTAGGATCGCTGTAACAGTAATATCATCTACATGTCACTAATTAAGAGGATATATATTTGTCCAATGTGAAAAGAGCTCTTGGGTACTTCCTTCAAAGGATCCTGACACCAAGATATGTTAAAGACAATATACAACCCTATTAAATTAAGGCATAGTATATTGTCATTAAAAAACTAACAAAATTCTCAAAAAGAAGAGTATACAATGGCAAACACGTGCAAGTTGCAACAAACTTGACAGCTTAATATAGCCAAATATTGGCGGGCTAGCATTTTTTTATATCGGAGAAATATTCTAACACATACTAGTGCTTATTGGGCTGACAAAATTGACTTCCAACTCATTCGCACACCATGCATGATTACAATCACAATTGTTATATTGTGGAATCGTGCAAGATGGACACGATTCTACAATCGTTATGCTATGGACCCGTGTCTAGCATGCATGCTGGACACAGGTAACAGTGCCATTAGGCACTGTTATCTTCTTCTTCTTCTTTCCTTTTTTTTTTTTTTTTTTTTTTTTTTTTTTTTAATTTCGGACCGGAGTAAATTTCAATTTTGGTCATATGACTATAGATGTTTTGTTAATTTGAGTCTCTGACTTTCAAAAGTGTTAATTTAGTACCTTAACTATGTAATTTTTGTCAATTTTAGTCACTCCGGCAAAATTGCCGGCCAAATTTCGCCGAAAAATTTTAATAATTAAAATAATAAGGGTATTTTGGTCGTTTCATGCCTCTTTTCATCTTCTCCGGCGAGTCCATCACTTTCTCTCCCATTTCTGGCGTTCTTTCTCCATGTAAACCCTATCTTTAATATCATCAAGCATCCTTTCCCCATCATCTTAGTTCATTTCATTCGTCGAAAACGGGAGAGGAATGGCTGGACTCGCCTGGGATGAAGAAAAGAGACGTGAAATGATCAAAATATTCTCATTATTTTAATAATTAAAATTTTCCGGCGAAATTTGACCGGTAATTTGACCGGAGTGACCAAAATCGACAAAAAATTACATAGTTAAGGTACTAAATTGACACTTTTAAAAGTCAGGGACTGAAATTAACAAGACCCCTATAGTCATAGGACCAAAATTGAAATTTCCTCTTTCAGACTGCTTCGTTATAGGAGTATATGTTCATAATTTTATTACTATATGTTCAGAATTGTAAGTTCATAATGTCAGAGTTCTATGTTCATAATTCCGTAACTGTACATTCATACTTTCATAACTGTACATTCATACTTTCATAACTGTACATTCATAATTCCGTAACTGTACATTCATAATTCAATAACTGTAACTTCATAATTTTCGAAACTCTATGTTCATAATTTTATCACTATATGTTCATATTGTAAGTTCATAATGTCAGAGCTCTGTGTTCATAATTGCATAACTGTACATTCATAATTCCGTTAACTGTACATTCATAATTCCGTAACTGTACATTCATAATTCAATAACTGTAAAATCATAATTTTCGAAGCTCCATGTTCACAATTTTAGAGCTCTATGTTCATAATTTTATCACTATATGTTCATAATTGTAAGTTCATAATGTCAGAGTTGTGTTTATAATTTTATAACTTACATTCATAATGTCATAACTGTACATTCATAATGCCATAACTGTACATTCATAATCCCATAACTGTACATTCATAATGGCACAAACGAATAACGCCGTTAACACCGTTAACGACGAGACAAAATCAATTTTTTTTTAACTGGAATGACACGTTTTTCAGCTGAGCCGTCGCAAGTATCATCTGAGCCTGCTCGAGGGTTGTAGAACTGAGCAAAGAGGCTGCCAATGTTGTTGAGATATCGAGTAGCTCTCCAACCACTCGAGAGGTAGTGGAACTGAGTGGTGAGTTATCTCGAGGAGTAGAAGTTCTATCAAGCTCACCTCGTTTGCTAACTACTCGAGAAGATGCAGAACCAAGTGGTGAGGCCGAGCATACAACCATTCATGAGGCATAACGATTCGCAACTCCTCATGCTGAATTTGATGAATGAGTGATTGTTGAATTTGATTCTAGCTTAGCCAGTACTGGTGGAAACTGAGAAGTGCTGACTAGTGCGAGCTCAAAGAATCTATAGCCGACCATCACATCCTGATTGTTGAAATAGTTTTTTGACTATAACAAAATTACCAATTTGGTCCCGAGTTAACGGATGTCTAACAACAAAATAAACGGATGACCAAATTGGTTAAGATTTTTAAAGTTGAGGGACTTAATTGGTCAAGAAAAATAGTCAATGACTAAATTGATAATTTCACTATAGTCAAGGGACCATTTCGATAATTAACTCAAAATAATATATATGGTATCAAATCATTAAAACATTCCAAACTTCTGTACCAACTTTAGCCAAAACATAGGGGGGGGGGGGGGGGTGGTGTAAACAAACAGTCATCACTAAGGATATGATGATTGAATTTGTTACTGTGTTACATAAACAAATTAACACGGCATAATTCTCTGTAAATAAAATCTCTGCATTAATTGATTTGAAGAGAGAATTTCAAATTATGTATTGTGTGTGGCTAAAAATAAAATTATGCATTATTATTATCCATCCAGATGATGCAACGCAGAGATTTCTTCTGCTCCAGCAACTCAAATGCTTGCATAATGTCTTCGAATTTGACTTCATGTGTTTTGAAACCCTCCAAATTCAGCTCCTGCATTTATTTATCGTAACCAAAAACGATTTTACTGTCAGACGTGTAATATTTTTTATAAATGTAAAAAAAATTGTTACATTTTAATTAAAAAGTATTTATCCAGATAAATTCGTGACAGTCACACATTAAACGCAGGCTAAAAAAGGACTACTCAAATAATGTCCCATCAGTTACCACCCCTAACATTCGAGAAATAACAAGTTTTTTTTTTTTTTTCACTCGAAGAAACAACAAAATAGCAAAATAAAATGACAACCATATATTTGTCTGATTGGAATAATGCATTGCGAAACTTACATTTTTCAGATATTTTTCAGCAAGTTCGGGAATATCAGTTTTGGCATTGATTCCTCCAAAATTGCACCCGATAATGGTCTTTTCTGCTAAGAGTTCGTAAGGATTCACACTTATTGGCTTTCCGTGCATTTCTACTCCAAGTATTATTGTATATCCACCCTATAAATTATAACTCAAAAAATTAATTATGTTAATAAACAAGTTTTACATAATTGAAGATAGAGTATCAATTTTAATAATGAAAAACCTGCAAGTAGAGCTGTTAAAACAGGCTTAACTCGCTGAACTAGCCTATCTCGCCACGCCAAAGAACAAGACGAGCTCTAAAAATCAGAGCTCATATTATAGCGAATTTTAGCTCGTCCCTATTAACCCGCCGGTTTAACGGGGCGGGGCTTCGTCCTGTCGGTCCGTTTTGATAGCTCTAGCTAGCCGCAAGTATGGTCAAAGGGATAACAAAAAATACCTGACGTGAGCTTGCGAAAGCATCTTCCATCAAGGATGCTAATCCAATGCACTCGAAGCTATAATCAACGCCTCCATCCGTCATTTTTTTAATGGCCTATATATTTAAGGTAAAGTTTAGATTTGTTTAATTATTAAATTAAAATAACAGAAAAAATTTATAGTTTTTGATCTCTTAATTGTACATTTTAAAATTTAAATCTAATTTTTCTATTTTAATTTGTACAAATATGACTTTTTAATTGCTAAACAAGTTATAAATTTTGTCTATCAATTCATTTAAGACTAAGACATCGAGTTTTGTTTGTACCTAGGGTTATCATTTATTTATTTATTTATAAATTTTGGTACAAATGGATTTTAACACCTCAATTTATAACCATTTTAACAAATAAGGCAAATTATTATGTCGACCTAGTCTACCTTACAAGGTGGACCCAGGTCCAAATGTTCACAATTTATTTTTTAAAAATTCACAATGTGTATACTACGAACACATAATGTTAACATATATATAATTGATTATATTATTTTGTATTCACAAGTTCCTTTCAAGTACTGCAGTCACACAATATTAACATATTAGGATTTGGTGACTTGTATTATATTAACATAAAAACACAATTTATATTCTAAAAGTTCACAATTTCAATACTAAAAATACACAAATTATACGTCGTTTAGGACCAGGGTCCACGTTGCTAGGTGGACCCTGGTCCATGGTATAACAACTAAAACAAATAAAGGACTGTATTAGTAAAAGTTGAAAGGGTGAGTCTAAATTTAACTCGAGAACAATTAAACGACCAAAAATGTAGGAGTAATCTTTTTTTTAAAAAAATAAAAAATAAAATTATCTTTTTAATTACTATTTTAATATGATTTGGAACAGTTTTACGAAGATGTAAGCATAAATTCAAGAATGAAAGATGCATCTAACCTCCGGTACTGAACTTTCCCCAATAGCTTTTGGATTAATAAAATCTGTAAGTCCAAACTTCTTCCCTACTCATTGAACAAATATAATAATAAATAAATAAATAATTCATTATTTAATATTAATATTTTAATAAATATTTTGTAACACTTACCAAGTTCAAATTTGTCTGGATTCAAATCAACGCCTATTATTTTTGAAGCTCCCCTTAGCCTTGCACCTTCTGCAACCTATTATAGTTTGAAACCAGTAATTGATGACTAAATTTTATTCTGAATAATAATTGACAATAATAGAGTTCAAAAATTTACTTATAAATAATTAAATTTTTAAACACTAATTTTTTTAACACTATTTTTTTTTTTTTTGAGAATAATTTTTAAACACTAATCACAAATCATTAATT